TCTGAAAGAGCACTTATTGCAGCAGATCGTAGCCTAAGGATCGAATTGATTGAAAGGCGAGAGGAAAATTCATCATTGCAAAGAGGAGGATACATAAGAACAGAAGAGGCAGAAATAAGAGGAGTTACTTTATTAATCCATCCAAATCTTCCATAGTAAAAGCACATTCTCTGCATAATCCGTCAGTTATAAAACAATCAGCTCAACTAACTATACTAAAATTGGAGTTCCAAAGTGTAAAATCTCTGGACTGCCACCTACAGATATTTTGCACGTCCTAGGCAACACAAAGCTTCTCGAATCCCGTGGTGAACACTTCCCTGTAATGAGCTTTCCATGCCATATCATGTGTTGCATAAATGATCGCCACCTCAATATGTCACAACCCGTGAAGCATTGAACAATGACCACAACCCAGGAAAGGATAAGAAATAAAGCAATAAGTGCTCGTCCTGAGACCTGATCAGCTTCATCCTGTCCTAGATTATAAACCATGCAAACCAATTATTCAAGCCCAAGTAGAAGAGTGGATTAGTACAGCAGAAAATAAAACCTTAGGATAGTATAATGAAATCCGTGCATACTCTTAAGAGTTGCTCCTAGATTCTATTGATTAACTATTTTTCAGTACATTTATTGGAAGCAAAAGCTGCTCAAAGCAAGAGTAGTTATCATGTTTGTGGTACCATTCACTCAAAAAATCCATATGGAAACCTCAAGATAAATGTGCTCACAAGTTATTCCCCTTTATTTGCGTAGTTGTGTATGTATGAAGCTCATGTGACTGTAAACTACCAGCAAACAAAAACTTCCTGTAAAAGATTATGTCCAAAGTTAAGAAATAAATGGCTCATAATGGCAACCAACATACCAAACAAGCAGATGCATCAAATTGAGGTGCTTTTAAGGAATAAGCAGTATAGGCAGCAAACAGCAAGGGTATGGGTTTCACATGACAAGGAAAGCAAATGTGCTAAACAGTGTAGTGTTTACACAAGACTAGGCCATTTTAGTTACCTTTGGCAAATCATATATCCGGCACATCCTCAGGGAGCATTGTTTCCTACAAATGAAGAGGAACATTACCGATAAGTACACATGCCTCATGGACAGCCAGTTTTCAGCTTTGATGAACATTACACTTAGCTTACCTCTTCTCTCTTGGAACATGTTCGCCGATTGTGACCCTCACCCTTACACAGGGTACATTTCTTCTTAGATTTATCTGAAACTGACTTCAACTTTTTCTTCGGGGCCCCTCTGCCAGGCACATGTATGGGATCAAAGACATCTGCAGAATCAACATCCAGGGCTTGCGGCAGCACAGGACCAAACCTCTTGCCTCCGTTCTCTCCTCCATTTGGAGGATCATAGCAGCTTCCTCATGAAGAACGCGTTTGAGCCGCCCATATGCTTCAAGTGATTGAGATGCTACTGAAGGATGCCGTTTGACTGATATTGTGTAGCTCATGGTACCTCTGAGGCTATCGGAATAGTCATACATGGCGCTCTTCCTTATAGGAGGAAATCACGCTTGGCCCCCTCGTCCACCTTTCCAAAACACAAGTGATCTGGAAGCTTGTGTTCTCTCGACGACCCAATACAAAGAAGATGTGTGAGCATGGGGTTCCAAGGATTGTAACTTTAGACAAGAACAAGAAATTTCCTTCACTATGCGTTCAACAACGCATATCTCACATTTCACATAGTATTGTTTGTCTCCTTTATCAACCTTTCCAACAATATACTCAACAATATCATAGCCATCTACGGTCTCAATCCAATAACACTTGTCAATTTGCTTTTACTGTTTGATCTTGCGCACATCGGCAAAATAAACACTTGGTGTGAACAAATTCGCAGCCTCTTTCTCAATAGTTGAAGCATCTGGTTGTAAGCATGGCTTAGAACTTGCTTGAAAGTCCAGATACGCTTCATTACTGCGCAACTTTGAAAGACAGTGGTCAACGTCTTTGTATCAACTCTAATAAGTGTCATTTTCCGATCTAGATTAAACTGAATCCTAGAGTGTGTAGGCTCACTACGCTGGTTGCTCCTCAGTCCTAAGTAGCACTTACCAGCATGATATGCCGCACACCAGATTTCCCTCATCTCATACATCTGGTACAACCACGAGTCCTTATCTGTAACTTTCTCCTTTGCCAAGAATGCTATCCATTTCCTCTCAATCTTTTCTATGGAGCAACGATCATACAGAAAACCCCTAACCTTATCCTTCAGATCCTGGGTGTGAAGATTACGCGCAATGCACACCTCAATATGCCATACGCATAGCCTATGCGATGAATTCGGCCACACAATACTGATTGCTTTCTGCATAGCACGGTCTCCATCGGTGATCACAGAAACCGGATGCTTCTGAATCATGGCATCACAGAATGACCTAAGCAGCCACACATACGACTCAGTATCCTCGTGAGAAAGAATTCCACAGGCAAAAAGAACCGTGCTTTTATGGTGATTCACCCCAACAAAAGGAACAAGGGTCAGGTTGTATCGATTCGTTTTGTACGTGCCATCAAACACGATGACATCACCAAACGCTCTATAATCCATCTGACATTGAAAGTCACACCAGAGCAGTCCCGTCAGGTGCCCTCTCCCATCAGTCTTGTACTGGAAAAAGAAATCAGGATCTCTACGTTTCGATTCTATCATGTAACTGATGATTGTTCGAGCATCACCACCGGAAAGTGTCTCCGCCTTGTTGCGATGGCAGAAATTGTAAAGGTCCCTTGATGTAAATCCAACCTTATCATACCCACCGTACCGCCTAACCATAATATCCATTATCTGGTGTTTGCGGATCCCAGAAATCTGCAACTGCACAATCTCTGCTTTCTGATCATCGCTGATTCTTCTATGTGAACGCAGAAAGCAAGCAAGGTCTGGTTCCGTCATCGGATGGTTGTGCTCGTCGATGAAATCCTTCACATACCATTGCTCTGTGTTTGGATCCTGTGCAATCACAAGTTGAGCACGGCATCCACAACGAGTGATATTCCGCGGCCTCCGCTTCTTGATCTCCCTCCTCACCTCCTTCTCTGCGCGGAAACCTTCACAGCTGCAAACAAACTTCCGAAGGGTCCTCTCATTGTGGCCGTTGTCCCACTCGCAGTATTCCTTTCTCACACTAAATCCTTTCTCATAAGCGTAGTTGTTATAAAACTCAAATCCATCGTCCTCACTGCCAAACATCTTCATAACAATTTCACTGTACTCCAGCAAAGAATCATCATCCGACATTTCCTCCTGAAAAATGAAGCTTTCATTAGGATGCACAGGTTTTCATTATTGAAATTCACTTTGCACTTGAAGTTTCAAATTTCAGCAGCCTGCCATGTTCTAAAACAGCAGCCTATGTTTATATGCCGGCCGCCGACGAGCGAGTCAAGGAAGGCCGCCGCTGCCGCCGCCAAGGACTCCAGCTCGAGGCATCGACAGCTCCGGTGCTCCGACCTTCGGCTATCGGCTCGTCGCCTCCGCCGTCTCGGTCACTCCGTGGATTATTTTGCTCATGTTGACTGATGCCAGGGCCCAGGTCCCAACTCCCAAGTGCAGACTTGCACGTGGCCAATCACCTGGTGGGCTAAATTAGCTAGCGGACTTGCATATCTGCAGCATATATCCTCTCTTTTTTACGGGGCAAGGGGGGGCCAGATCCCTCTATGACCAATACGTGGCTCCGTCGTTGACAAACCTGCTGAGGAGATCAACGAAGCTGCGGAATCTGATGTCTACAAGAGTTGTACCTCCTTCCTGGATGTCGTCGCCGCCGAAAATCGGAGCTGCCGCCGCCCTGTAACAGACCATGGTGGAGGAAGCTGTGGTACTGTGTTTGATCTAGGTGGAATTTTTGCTGAAGAATCAGATTTGGATGAGAAAGAAAATGAGTGATTTGCCGCTGGGGAGAAGAACAGAAGTGAGAACTCGTCGCTGCGACCATGGAGATCGGTGGTGAGAACCGGCAGTTGGGATAAGGTTGATTTTTTTATTGTATTATAGTGGACCCCATATATGGTAACGATGTCAACTCATCCATTATTCATTTGAACTTCTATCCAAATTATATGGTACAATAATTAATTTTTTTGTCATAGTTGCTTTCACTCATTCATCAATCAACAAATAATCTATTACCAGCCTAGAGGCATATAAGTCATTTTACATTCATGATAGAGAATCTATCGACAACTATCAGGATTGCCAAACACCTAGATTTTTCAGACTGCAGATTTATTAGACCGCAGCTTATCAGAAAATTCTGATCAGATTAAAACCGACTCTCAGATAAGCATTCTCAAACAGGGCCAAAGCTAACTTCTGGATGAATCTTCTGACAAGATTTCATCCTACTAGAATAAGAACATGACATGAAGCACTTAATCAATTAGTCAGAATATACAAATAGCAAATAATCACCATTACATCTACATAAGAACTTTCATGAACTTTAATCACCATGGGTAGCCAACAGCTAACACTAATATTTTAAAAACCAATCAGGAATGGCTACAGAAACCAAAAGTAACCAGCCAACTTACAACTGGTCCATCAGGTGGGCACTGGTAGGTGGTAACGCTGTACCCACTAGTGTAGACATCGGTTTGGATTTTTTTTCCCAAATAAATGAAACTAGTACACATCCTTATATGTTTCAAGGTCAAGATAAATTTGAAGAATATCAAAATAAAATTGTGACATGACTTGTTCAGTCACCCAAATAGCATCAGTTATACAACCTATTTTATTGGATTAATGTGGCTTGACAAATGATTTTACAGTAATATTTTGGGGCATTTGTCATGCATATGGACTAACATACCTGCTATGCCCAAGGCATGACAAAACTGTATAAAAAAATGCAACCAATTGGCTAAGTCAGCAAATGATGTATATTAGTATCATAGTTTTCCTTTCCATTAATGCAAACACATCTACTGCAACACTTTATATGCAATGCAAAAACTAAGTCATATTCAACGTTCTGCATCCAAATGTTAAAAACCATCAATTATTGGTTCAGTTTTTTCGATGCATTGCGGCAATGTAGCACAAAGACTGAAAGACATATTCGAAAGAATATCTTATTACAAGTATAAACATGCCACCAGAAAAATGTTAGCATACTAGCAAGTCCAATCAACTCACTCATAAGGAATAGATTTGTGAAGAAGTTAGCAGCACGCACCTCCCAAGCGCATAGCCTTGAGCTTGAGAAGACCATTTCCTTGGGGCCCCGACACCGGGAAAGTGCAGGAGACAGAATGCTTCACATGATTCACAGCAATGGAAGCACTGTACCAGGGACCCCGCACAATCGGCTTACCAATGGCATTGACTATCTGCTGGTTGGCCTTCTCTATTGCCTGGCTGCAGCACGGGCACCAAAGGAAGTGAGCCATAGCAATTCCTCTTGTGGACAAAGGAAACAAAATCCAACTACGGTGAGCACAATACATGAAGAAAATAGCATCACCCAAAGGGCCAAAGATCGCGACGAGGCTCCGGCGGCGACTAGAGGGAGGGAGAGAGCAGGCAGCGGTCGCTAGGGTAAGGGCAGTCAGTCGGAAGGCGGCGACGGAGGCGACCACCGCGGCCCTCGCGCTGGGGGTGGGCAGCAGCCTTTGTTGGGCCGCTGTCGCCGCGATTGGCGCGGCTAGAGGGAGGGGAGAGCAGGGCAGCGGTCGCTAGGGTAAGAGCAGGAGTGCGAGGCGATGGGCGGCCGGGCGCGAGGGCGAGTCAGCGCGGATCGACGACGGCGTCGGGCGCGGATCGGGAGTGGGCGCGGCTGAGTAGTGATAGGCACGTGAAATGACCAACGTACCCTTTTCGATGATAATTAATATTTTATGGAGGCAATGGGAGGCAACGCGAGGCAATTTCAAGTACTGTAAAAGGGCTCAACTGATATAACAAGATACTCTGCAATGACGTTCTCCGCCGCGACATCCTCATCCGCCGCGACGTCATGCGGCGTGATTGCCTCCATGCGAACGAGTTACTCTCTCTCTCTCTCTCTCTCTCTCTCTCTCTCTCTCTCTCTCTCTCTCTCTCTGCGCGGCGCCAGCGAAGACGACGGCAACCGAGGAGGCGCGATTAAATTCTATCCTCGGGACTGGGTGACCGGCCAGGATATGATCATAATCTCGTCCAAAACCCTCCCCAGAACGAACTGTTGGTTAAAGGGATGGAGGGAGTAATTAGTTTTATTTTTTGAGAAATACCAGGCAGTAATTAGGGTGTGGGTTGTCCCGGCCGGCCTAGCTATTTGTATGCGGGCTGGGCAGGGCCAAAATAAATCCAGTCCGTTCCAACTTCCAACAAGTATGGCATAGTCGTTGCAAATATCACAGTTGGCCTTCGTTGGCGCAGCAGAGACGGTTTCTTCAATATGCAAAACTACGTCTCTGCTCAAAGGAACAAACTATCGATTCGACTTTTTATAGCCTTCCCTCACACACGATCAGATTCCTGTGATTAAAAGGGTGTTGATTGATAGTTTCCTTAATTTGTTGATCTGTTCAAAAGCACATATATAGGGCATGTCCAACCCACAGTTGTATGATGATATCACACCACATACAGATGGCTGACAAAAAATATGTACAATGGATCATCTATTAATTCTTTAATATCCGTATGTAGCCTTGATCAAGCATAAATACTCATGTATACATACTGTTGAGTTGCTTGTTGATAAAAAAAGTCAAACATAAATGATGATCATGGTTAAAATATATTTTGGAATCATAAATCTAAATAATATATTAATATATTTATATATAATGTCCTGCAGATCCAACACAGATAATTCAGATGGAGATAAGGAGCCTGCTACCCTTAAAACTCCAGACATCAATCATGCACTCCCAAAATAAATCTCTACAACTAAAAAGACTATAAAGTAATCATCTACCCGGTGAAACCAAATCTTGACCCCTGCTCACGCGTTCGTATCTAATATGAATCATACTTCACTCGAAGCTCACACGTCCACGTCCTACACGGAATGAATACTTCATTCGAAGCTCATATGTCCACGTCCTACCTAGATACGATATGAAGACCGGATCCACGTGCTCGCGTCCAATATGAAGTCCTCAGAGCTCATGCGTCCGTGTCCGATTACTAAGGTTCAATTCAAAAAATTACGACCTAATACAATGCATGGGCATATATCTGGTCTTATAATAAAGAAACTCATGGAAATCTTCACGAGCACCTGGCGTGCGACCAAAATGGTTGCCCGTCGTTTGGCAACCTCAGATCTTAGAAAATCACCTAGCATGCAACCAAAATTGTTAGGAACGAACTAATCCATCACAAATATCAAAAAGTGATGCCCAGGTGTTAGCGTCGGTGTTGAGGAACAAGAGCTCGTCCTCGCCGGCCATCTCTAATTCTCTCTGTCCACGGGCGTAGGAGCTCCACGGTAGTACCTGATCTCACTCTACGGGGCACGAGGAATGTGCGGGGCGGCTCTACTGAGGAGGAAGACTACGGCGAGTGTGCTTGCCCAATCTTTTTCGGCCGGAAAGCGGCGACGGCTCGGGCCGAACCTCGGCACGGCCATGCGAGCGCGAGATACAGAGAGAGAACATGGCGCAGCTTCGGGGACCTCTTCCGTGCCTGGCTGCGACTCGGGCGCGCGCAGCACCGGATCGGGCGATGCCAGCGACAACCCGCAACACCAGGTACATGCACAGCGGGAGGGCCATCGTCGATTTGGCTTTGGAGCACGAGCCGATGAGAAAATTGAGTATTTGGGTCCTATCGTTGCGCTTCGCAATTTTAGACTTCAAACGTCAACTTCATAAAAATAGGTCTCTCGCATACTTGATTTTCTTACCCTTTCCACTTTTGTAGTATTCTTCCATGTATTTGTCATCTGAGGTTTTGTTTGGCTGCACACAAATCCACCCCAATCCAATTTAGGAGGAATTGAGATAGAATTTAGTTTATACCCTTCTAAACCATGTGGATTAGGGTAAATTTGTGTGAAGCCAAACAAGCCCAGAGTCAACGTTCTTGCCGTTCTGATGTTTTGCCGTGCCACTCGCTACTTCCCTGGCCGCTCGTACGTACGTGAGACTGGGCAGTCCTTGCCGTGCTGATTGGTACTTCGCCTGTTCTCGTACGTACGTACGTCGCGCCGGCCGGCGCAGCCTGGTCTTAGCGGAAGCTGCCGGCGCGGTAAGGGATTGGGCGTGCGTGGCCAGGCCCTATGCGGCCGCTGCCTGGCCTTGAGCATCCGCGGCCAGGGCAAGGGAACGGCCGGCCAGGGCATCCAGTGGCTGGACCTCCATGGCTGCCGCCGCAGCAGGTCGGGAAGGCGATGGGCAGCGGCAACACGAAGGTCGCGATGGGTTAGGGCTACGCCAGGTCGTGATCGGTGTTTCCCGGTAGGTAACTATCGGTGTTTCGAACTGTCATCGGCTAGTAAATTTATATTTGTACGCATTAGGCTCGGATAGTGCGCTAAAGGACACAAGGTTTATACTAGTTCGGGCTGAATGTCCCTACGTCCAGTCTGCTGCTGCTTGCGTTATTAGCACCGAAAATGGTTCGTAGTATGGGGTACAAACGGTCGAGAGAGGGACTGGTCCCAAGTCTCTGATGGAAAAAAGATTGAAAGGATGCCAAGAGCCTGTTCGCTGCTTGGCTGCGTGCGTGATGTGTTGTGCCTGTGTTGAACTGGTCTTTGTGTGAGTTGTCCATCCCATAGTAGGGTGCCCCGTCCCCCCTTTTATAGGTTAAGGGGAGCAGGGGTTACATGTACGGGGAAGAGAGAAGAACCAGGGGCAAAGAAAACCCCTCCGCAGGCGCCGGGTCTTCCCTTTCCTCTGAGACAGCCCGGCTGACATGGGCAGACGGTGTCAGGGGCCGACACGTTCGCCGGATACCTGTGTGATGATGATGATGCCGCGCCCCTACTCGATCAGCAAGTGGTTACGTCCCATCCCGCCCCCGTGGGCGGCGTGTCGGACAGGGGTGTCGACCTGTGACCCTGTGGGGAGCGGGCGGTGCGGTGACTGCTCGTTTGTCACTATAGAGGACGGGAGTCCCCCATTAGAATGTAGTGGTTGTCGTATGTCCGTGTCGAGTTCCGCACCCGAGGGCTGAAGGCGGCGCCTACAACAATGTTCGGGCGAAGAGCACGCGCCTGCAACACTATTCCGGCTCTGCCACGCCTGGAAGGATCTAAAGCGCCCGTCCCGTCTCGCCCTGACAGTACTACCCCACAGTGGCGCAGGGCATGGTCCTCGATGCCGCGGTTGACCCGAATGTCTTGTCTTGCCCTATGCCTGTCATCACGAAGGAGCAGGGCGGAGCCAGCCCTTGATCGTCGTGCGAGGCGGAGCCCACCCTCGGTCGTCGGACACGGCGGAACCCGCCCTCGGACGTCGGGCGAAGCGGAGTCTGGCCCTCGGGGGTCGGGCGAGGCGGAGTCTGGCCCTCTGGGGTCGGGCGAGGCGAAGCTAGCCCTCTGCCGTCGAGTGAGGCGGAGCCCGCCCTTGGGCTTTGGGCGAGACGGAGCCTAGCCCTCAGCCGTCGGGCGAGGCGGGGCCTAGCCCTCGAGGGTTAGGCGAGGCGGATCCTAGCCCTTGTAGGTTGGGCTAGGCGGAACCGATCTTCCGTCGTTCGGGTAAGAGGCACAATAGTGTTCTCGTTTGATCGATAGTGCCGACGTCCGGTGTTTATTTGTTCCACCCCGTTGGGTACCCTGGTATCAGGTCCCCGACAGTAACCGTGCACTCTCAATCACAGAAGGGCAAAAACGTCCTTCCAAATGCAAAATACATGGAAGAATACTAGAAAAGGAAGAAAATACATAGAGTGGCAAGAAAATCAAGTGTCAAATGTTTCGAAGCCTATTTTTACAAAGTCTACGTTTGAGTCCCAAAATTGCGAAGCATGATGATTGGAATCCCAAATATACAATTTTCTCCGAGCTGTCCATGACAGCCTCGTCCGGTTGGCAGCGCAGGTGGGGTCTTTTCTTTTTTTGCAGGAAATGCAATATATAGACAGCACAAAATGGTGCATTGTACGTGCCCTTACTGCTGACCATTTCTCGCACATCTAGAATGTTGCCAAACAACTTGGTGATACCAACACAACACCTAGCAAACTAATTGAACCAAAATGATTACCAACAAGAACATCATTAGCAGAGTGCGGGATGGAAAACTGGAGCGAGCTTGCCTTCTCGACGAAGATTTTAGGGCCTATATTGATACGTTTCCTATGTTTATAAGTACCATTACGACCCAACGAGGTAGTGTAATTGCTGCATATACAAGACCCCCTAGGTGACAAAACGACCAACATATAGGTGTAGTTCACGGCATCTCCAATGTGTATTCTAAACCGGTGCAAGGATGGGCACCTCATCCACCTT